CAAGTCAGTCTCTTGCCCAATGGCTGAACCTACCAGTAACGTGTAAAATTCAGGATCTTTGGGCTATTTGCTGATCTGAGGATGGAAGACGTAGAGGCAGATGGTCTGGAGAGGGAGAAAAGAAAGCAACAGAGATGAGGTGGAGAGCTAGTGACAGCGGCCCCAGCTGTTGCTGCTCTTTCTTTCCTTGAGACATCTTACTCTTCTCTTGGTAAAAGCTATTGCAGTTTCATCTTCTGTTCCTTGCAACCAGAGTCTAGTAAATACAGAGGGCGTGGCAGCAATCACCAGCCCCTCGATCTACTGGCCAAGGCTCTGAGATCTAGCTCAAGTTCTGACAGCATTTTATCCCCTCTGCCAGTTAGAAGTTTGTACACTTTTAAAACTTACATCAGACCGTGTTTCTAATGGAAATATTTACCTGAAATGTTTTTTCTTTCATAAATGTTGAATTACAGTAGACTATCATTGACACTTTGCTTACAGGGCAGGAAAAATGTTGTCTGAGATTTGTAACTTGCGTTTGTTTTCTCTAAACATTTCCTCTTCTCCTATTCAAGCAAACCCGAGGCAGTGTTCTGAGAAGAGCGGTGTTCAGCAGTATCCTTGTGTGTGCCTACGCCTGAGCCCATCAAGGAGGTGATGCTAAGAACTTCCAGGAAAATTCCTCAGAGCTACATAGGAACCCACGCTGCACCCCAAGGGATCCGGGAGCAGAGGAAACTTATTTATCAGGCAGAGCTCCTGGGAGGTGGCAAGACCCCAGGTAACATGTGGAAATGGTACGTGTGGGTGGATAGGCGGCCATAGACAGCTTTACTGTTTGCCTGCTTCAGGGAGGCAAGGAAACAGCAGAGAGATGCCTGTGCCACCGCTCCTGTCAGGAAGTAGGACAGAGGAAGGATGGACATGAAGAGGCTGTGAGGACAGGAATGGGGCATCTCAGCCCCAACCTACAAGGGCCATACCAAGACCATAACCATAGATATCTCAGCGGACACATGTGGAGAGAGAGGACTGGGGGACAGGATGCCACCACCTCCACCCCCGCCCCCCTCACACCATCTTAGCTCTTTCGATGCCTCCTGGAACTTAAGACAGACCTTGGGAAATGAAGACTCTAAACTCACTGAGAGTAAGTTTCCACCACCCTAGCGGAATGTAAGCCAGAAAGAGAAATTAAGTGGAACGATAGAAAAATAAAGCTCTATTTTGAGCTCACTTGAGTTTCTGGACTGAAACGCATACTTGGCTACCTGTTAGTACATTGCTTTCCTTTATATGCAGGGTAAACAATGTATTCCCAAACACAACTATATTCAGTTAAAATCTGTAACGATAATCTAAGAAACTTGCTTGTTCTGTTTATAAGAACTCTTGAGCACTTCCATCGTGCCAAGCCTTGCGCTTTAAATTCATTATTATATTCAATATTTATAACAACTTTAAAGGTTAAAAATTAGCATTTTAGAGATGAGAAAAGTGAATCATTGAGAGAATTAAAAACTTGCCCATTTAGGCGTTATGAAGGATTCCGTCCTATTTATGGTGATTGCTTCTTTCAAGGGACTATTTAGATAGGATATCTGTGCCAGAACGAGTCCTCCAGGGATTTCAAAGTAACTACACATATATGAAGCCAAGATCCTCATTAAGTAGCTTTTATAAATTGTTCATTAGCGTGGAAAGGCATTCACTGAGGGCCAATTGGAACCAGAAACTGTGCCAGAAACTTGGGTTAACAATGACATCCTCATCTTCAAAGGAACTAGCTGTGATGGAACTGTTAAAAGGCTTGTCAAGAGACGATCTAGATTTAATTTCTCAAATGCACTAGCCATTGACTCAGAAAAACCACAGCTTTCAGAAACTGAAAGAACCACCAAAAGTCCGATCAGCAAGTCACTGCCTCAGACAAGCAGGGCACCACTGTCCTCTTCCTACGGAAGGCACGACCAAGTCCCCGAGTGATCCAGGGGTACAGGGGGACTAGTTACCTTGTCTCTTAACGTAGTATTCTTTCTACACTACCATAGTGTCCCTCATTTCCTCCAGAAGAGAATTATTTCTTTTATGAAAAACCCTTGAGAGGGTTCATATTATATGAGACGACAAAAAGCAGAGAATGGAGATTTATACTATTCTATATAGGTATCTGGTTCAATCACAACAAAATACCAGTGTATTAGTCAGAGTTCTCCAGATAAACAGAACCAATGAGAATATATCCCCATTTCTGTCTCTCTCTCTCTCGCTCTTTCTCCCTCTCTCTCCCTCTCTCAAGACTGATTATTTTAAGGAATTGGCTCATGCATTTGTGGGAGCTGGTAAATCTGACATCCATGGGGCAGGTTGGCAATCTGGAAGTTGAGGAAGGAGTTGATGCAATTTTGAGTCTAAAGTATGCAGAGTGGGCCACGCAGCCTGAAAACTCAAGCAGGGTTTCTATGTTGCAGCCTTGAGGCCAAATCTCTTCTTCTGGAAACCTCAGACTTTGCTCTTAAGGCTTTCAACTGATTGGATGAGGCTCTCCCACATTATGGGAGGGTAATCTGCAGTACTCAAAGTCTACTGGCTTGAAAGTCAATCACATCTACAAAAACCTTCACAGCAGTATCTAGACTGGTATTTGGCCAGGCCAACTATGGCCACTGACCCATGAATCTGGAGAGGGTCCTCTAGCTCAGGGTTCTACCAAAGACAGGCTGCATGGATATTTAGAAGTATTCCATCCAGAAAGTTTCATGGGCAACATTTTATGGTTTAAACAATGTTAAACACATTTACGTATTAGAGAAAGGCTTTACTATGCTCCATATACTGGGAAGCCCCCAAGTAGGGACTGCAGTTTGCAGTGATCTCCTCTTTATACCCTCATGCAGACTTGTGTGTAAAGGTCATCTCTCTGAACCAGTGTTTCTCGATGCAGATACCCTGATCAAAATCAATCTCCCTTTTTTGTAGCTGAGGAAACTGAGGCACTGAGAGGTGAAGGGCCCTGGATCACAGAGAGTGGGTGGCAATTACAAACCCGAGTGTGTTGACTCCAGTGTTCTTGCCAAATGCAAACTACAAAAAGCTGGTAATAAGTGGTGAAATTTGGGGCCAATCTTAGGAAGGTGTTTGACCTGGGGCAAGCAATGGTAATCGATTCTGCACCTCTGTAGCATTTCCGTAGAGCTGAAGGTAGGTCTGAGTGATGAGTAGATGGTAGATGCTCCGTGGTAGGAAAGGTGGCTCAGCTGGCTTTGCTGTGTTGATGCCTGTGTGTGTAGGTTATCAGCTGGTAGAGCACTCTCCTTCTCTCCCTGGGGTCAGTTTCTCTAGTGACAGCCCGGCTGCCAGCAGGGGGTGGTGGGAGGAAGGATTGAGTGGATCTATCCTGGGGTTTTAGGCAATTGCCTCCATTTGCTATACTTTGAATGTGAAGATGGTAGGAATTCCCACCTAGTTAGAAAAAAGTGATAAGAGAGTATGAATCAATGAGAGCATGTCACTCAAAGAGGAAGCTATCAGAGCTAAAATTTATAGAGGAATATCTCCAAAAGCTCTTTCCCAGGAGAGTAAAACATCGTTCTTTCATTGATTCTTTTTTCTTGGCTATTGGCTTGGGCAGAGGATTTAAAAATTATGACTTCAAATTTGTTGTATGTATATAACACCCCAATGTATGAATTTCTTAGATTCAATTTGTCTTTACAGTAAAGCTTCCTGGGAACTCTGGTGATTCCACGTCAGATAACATCCTATAATCCTGTTCATATTTTTTTCTATGATAGAAACATCAAATATGGAATGGTGGAATCAATTTATGATGCCACGTGCTCTAATGCTCTCAAAAAACTGTGGATAGAACTGAGACATATACTAAAACCATCAAATTGTCCCATAGGGTCAGACTAGTGACGCAAACAGTTTGGAAATGGTTTGTGGTAGTTCTTCGGAAACAAATCTTGAAAATTAGGAGATCACCACCTAGGCATCTCTCTTTTCTCTTTATAATTGTCATGGGCCCACAATTTGCCCCCAAGCCCTCTTCATTCTCCTTGAGTTTTTCTCTTAGGGCTGAGAGGATTTCCATATTTAATACCCGTGGTATAAATCAGTTCTTGTTGCGGTTCTCACCCCTGCGCCCTGCCTGAGACTATCACGGTTTCAGAAAAATGCAGTACAATAGAGGCGATAGGCATATGCACTTTCTCTACATCTGGGGGCTTAGCTTGGGTTTCCTTGTAGCAGAGCCTGCAGCAGGAATTCTTATACAAGCTACTTATTGAGGGAGCGATCTCTGGTGAACTCTGTAAGAAGGAGGGGCGATAGCACAGAGGGGGAAACTAAGTCAGATGTGGTTGCAGCTGAAACCCGGCCTCAGTCTGATCCCGTGGGGAGCTCTGGAGTAAGAATGGCACCAAAAAATGGTCAAACTTTGAGGCTGGGGGAGCTTTTGTATCTCTGATCAGTTAGTGAATGGCTGTAGGTTGCCCTGGGGGAAAATATAATCCCCCAGCCCTTTTGGGTAGGGGGCACCACAGTACTTCCTTCGAGAAGGAGCATCAGCTGGGGGAATGGTGCATCGGTCCAGTAAAGGGGATAGGAGTAGGTCACCCAGAGCATCTATTATGTCTAGGCAGACTTATGGTCCTGAATCTCTGCTTCCCTTCTCATTCGGCTGACCTTAGCTTAACTACCTAGAAAGAACCATAAAGGCATCATATATTGTACTCCCTTAAGTTTAGAAAAAGGAGCTAGCTCTTGGCATTCAGCTTCCTCCTGTACCCAGACCCATGTAACCCAAACATCAACTGGATGTTTCCTAAATTTAAATCCCCAAATTTACCCTCACATCCTTAAGCCTTGAAACTTTTCATCTCCTCTAGGTTTATCAACTCTTTACTCCCTTTGTAAGAGTTTCTACTCATCACCCAGTCTTGGTCTTGGTAGGGGAGTATATTAATTATCCATGCTACATAATAAATTACCCCCAAACTTAGTGGCTTAAAACAATAATAAACATTTATTTTCTTATAGTTTCAGTGTGCTTCGGTGTTTTTTTGGCATAAGATTTTGTTTTGTTTTATTCAGATGTTGACTGGGGCTCCAATCATTTGAAACCTTAAGTGGAAACGGAGTATTGCTTCAAAGGTGGCCTGGTCACACGGCTGGAAGGTGTGCGCTGGTTGTTGGTGGGAGACCTCCCTTACTCCCCATGTGGTCTTCTTCACAGGGCTTCTGGAATGTCCTCGTGGCATGGCAGCTAAGTTCCCAAGAAAGAGTGACTCAATAGAACAAGGCAAAAGCCACAATGACTCCTGTGGCATTTCCTTAGGAGTTGCACATTGTCACTTTCATCAATGGGTCACATGGTCCACCTCTGATTCAGTGTAGGATGAGACTGCACAGGGTGTGAACAGAAAGAGGCAAAGACGACTGAGAGCCATCCTGGAGGCTGGCTACCATAAGCTAGTATATTCTTATATTCCTTCTCAATATTTTCCTGCCTTCTCACTCTGCCTGTTTGGCAAGAATATAGTGGCTCCTTACTGCTCTACTCATAATTTCTCCACTGTGTATACTCAATATTTCTCAAAACTTACTTGAATTGAGTCATGTAAGATGGAGAGCAAAAGTTTATTTAAATTAATGAATTTGAGCAATGTCTAAGCTTTCGAGGCTGTCTACTAACATTGCAGAAGTTGGTGGCCCCCTCTTCACGATTATATAATCTTCATTTATGCCTCCTCGCAGCTTCCATCATTTCCTGGAGAGTTCTCATTTATAAAGAATGTCTGTCCCCCTTTAGCCACACTTCTGTTCTCTTCCACCTTCAACCACTCACTCTAGTGTTTCATCTACTTAACCACAAGGATTCCGAAATGAAACCTCCTCCCCCCAAGGTGGCAATGCTGAGGCATGGTTGTACATGGGCCCAAGTCGGAGTTGTAGATTTAGGCACTTTGGCAGGGCAAAGCTAGAACCAGACACCAGAGGGGCCCAATCTCTGAAGAAACCAAGGTTTTTGACCAAAAGCTGCTTTCTGCAATGTCAGATGTCAAGGGAGTGATTTTTGCTTTCACAGTGCTTGGATTTCAGAGTTCTTTCATTCTGACTGTGTAGACAGAAGCACTGCACAAAGGTTATATAAGGCTCTCTGCTTATCCACGTGGGGTTTGAGACGTTAATGAGAATTTGGCTAAGCCTGACCACTCTGCCATCTGTGGGCCTCACTCTCTTCCCATTTCTGTCATGCTCTTCATCTGTTCTGAGACAGAAAAACTCTGTTCCACTGACATAGGCAATACTCCTAACCGTGCCAGCTCTATTACAAAATATATGTCATTGGTCGCTAGAGGAAATGGAAGGAAGAGTATATACTCTTTCTACGGTTCAAAACAAATCTCAGTTAGAGATAGTAAATCTGTTAGGCTCGCAGGCCACATGTGGTCTCTGTCACAGTCTTGTTTTTGTTGATTTGTTTTCAACTCTTTAAAAATCTCCAAACCAATCTTAGCTCTGAGGGCTGTGCAGACAAAGGCCTGTGGTGGAATTTGGCCCATGGAGAAGTTTGCCAACTCTCGTTATGTCAAACAACTTACAAGCATAGCAATGGCTCCAACAAGATGGAAAAAGAAAGTGACTTAAGTACAAGTCACAGACATTCAAGAAGTCAAGGTGCTGATTACTTTAAACGGCTATTAGAATCTCCAAATAAACAGTAAACGTCTTGCTAAAAACAGGCACATGCAGTGATTTAGTAGCAGAACTTATTGTCCCAAACAGGAAGTCAAACAGTTGGTAAGATCCTAATACGGTGCTCATGTACAATTATTGTAAATAAAATGCTAGGACAAGATGCAGTACAAGATTCCACACTTCCAAGTAGTGTGATCAGTCAGAGTATTGATGACACATTGCATGATCTTGAAGAGGTTTAGCGAAATAAACCGAAAGATCACACATCTTCTTTATCTGAATTGATGAGTCAGCATATTTCACCAATAAATGCCATGCTGCAGCATTGGTAAGGTTTGCCAGTAACTATAAAACTCAAGAACACAAAGAATTGCCCACAGCAAGCAAAGGCCAAGACATAATTAATATTTGGCTTCATATCTATAAACAAAAGGTCTGTCTTGAGAGAACAGTGTTGATTTCTGTATTGATGGTGCCTTGTCAATGGTTGGCTCTGTGGGAGCTTTTGCATCTTGTTAAAAGAAAATTGCCTCACGTTGTCACAACGCTGCCTTCTTCACAGAGAAGTGCTGTTGCCAAACACTCTTGGAGATGAAATGAAAGAAAGTTTTGGAAGATGCTACAAAATAGCTAATGTTGTCATACAAAGACTAATTAACTTGAGAATATTTTATTTATTTATTTTTTTTTTGGAAGATTAGCCCTGAGGTAACATCTGCTACCAATCCTCCTCTTTTTTTTTTTTTTTTTTTGCTAAGGAAGATTGGCCATGAGCTAACATCCATGCCCATCTTCTTCTACTTTATATATAGGACGCCCGCCACAGCATGACTTGATAAGCAGTGCATAGGTCCGCACCCAGGATCTGAACCAGCAAACCCCAGAACACTGAAGTGGAGCACGTGAACTTAACTGCTGTGCCACTGGGCTGACCCAAAAATACTTTATAATTGTGGGAAAACCTGGACAAAGACCACATAAATATCCTGCTATACACAGAAATTTGGTGGCTTACCAGAGGAGGAGATTTCAACACGGGTTTTGAGATGAAAGGAGAAATTTAGAAATACTTTCAAGATAATATTGGCCAGATTTTGCCAAGTGCTTTGAAAATGAACAATGGCTGCAGAAAGCAGCCTTGTCGGCAGATGCTTTTCATCATGTGAGCAGATGAACAAGTTTCTGCAAGGCCAGGGAGAAAGTGTTTTGATTTCAAGTGACAAGATTCTTGAATTTAAAAGATAACTGGGAGGAATTTCTGATTTAGGTGATGATGGAATAATACTCTCCTGGAAAACTCCCCATTAGTAAACAACTACAAATCCTAGACGTAAAACAAAAAGCAATGACTTGAAGGCACTGGAGACAGAACAGAAGCAGACAGACACTGATGAGGAATAAATACGTGGAGGAGGGGAGCTGTGTGAAGCAAGCTCCTGTATCTGTGGTTTTGCTCGGTACATGGCAGGTGCATGGTGATGGCACTGTCAGTAGGAAATCCATGGTGTCCCTGGTAGCGGACTCCACAGACGATGGAGAGACTTGGAGAAGCCCAGAAGAGAAAAACACAGAGAGGACATTCCCAAATTCCGTCTTCCAGTTTCTCTGACTGCTTCCTGACCCACATGCATGAAACAGACTAGAGGCAGCTTAGCTACCCATGAATGATCTGAACTGAGATTGGAGTTGCCACACAAGACATGGTTGCATAAGTGAAAGAAAACCACTTTAAAGGAAAACAACAAAATCATGAATTTATACAACTTACCATTCACAGAGTACAGGATAAATCCAAAATTTTCCAACATAAAAAGAACCAAGAAAATGGAACACATCCTCAAGAGAAAAGAAAATCAACTGAGTCAGAACTCAAGATAAAATAGATATTAGAGGTAGCAGGCAAAGACTTTTCAACAACTATTATAATGATTTTCAATGAAACAAAATATGAGCTCAATGAATGACAAAAATAGAAAATTTCAAAGGAGAAATAAAAACAAACAAAACCAAATGGAAATTCCAGGACTGAAAAATACAACGTCTGAAATAAAAAAACTCACTAAATGGACTTAACAGCTGAGTGGAGATGACAGAGTAAATAAACTCAAAGATCAGTAGTAATTAGCCAATGTGAAGAAGAGAGAGAAAAAAGATTGGGAAAAAAGAACAAAACCCTTTACATAAATATCAAGTGTTCAAACATATGTGTAATAGGGATCCCAGAAGAAGAGAGAAAAAAAGTTTGATAAAAAAATGGCAAAAAATTTCCCCAAATTTGATAGAAGATAGAAATTTACAGATAAAACATGCTCAAAGGACATCAAGTAGAATAAGCATAAACAATCCCACATCAAGGCACATTAGCGTCAAACTGTGGAAAGCCAAAGATAGAGAGCAAGTCTTCAAGGCATCAAGAGAAAAATAACAACACATTATATATAAGGGAACAATAATTTAATGGCTGAGTTTTCATCAGAAACCATGGGAAATGGAAGAGAGCGGATAACATCTTTAAAGAGCTGAAAGAAAAAAAAATCAAGTGAGATTCTATATCCAGAGAAAATATCCATCAAGAATAAAGGTAAAATAAAGATGTTTTCAGATGAAGTAAGACTAAAAGTATCATTACCAGCAAACCTACAGGAAATGCTAAAGAAATTTCCTCAGGCTGAATGTAGATAATACTAGATGGATATTTGTGTCCCCGCGAAAGGATGAATAACATAAAAATTGTGTATGCAAAAGAATATTTTTTCTTTGCTTTTTCCTCTTAATTACTTTATATGAATCACATAACTGTTTAAATAAAAATTATAATGTCTTGAATAATTTATAACACATGTAGATGTATTATATATAATAATTATCACATAAATCATGGGGGGCATATGGAACAAATGGTTCAAGGTTTCATTATTTTATCTGAGTGTTACAAAATTAAAGACAAGTGGACTAGGAAAAGTTAAGGATGTATATTGCAATCCTAGAGCAATAACTAAAATAATAATACAAAGAGGCATATCCAATTCTGGTAAGATGGAGTAACAGGGACAGGATATACTCTCTTTCCTGAAATATCTAAAAAACTGGGAAAAATATATAATCATCAAAACATTGGGTATCAAGAAATAAAAGATAGTGATCTCTAAGAGACGGGAAACAAATGAAAGAAGCCCTACAATTACCCTAGCTGTCTGGAGAGAGTTTAGGGCAATAATGCAAGGAAGAGGAAGCTTGGAAGAACACGACCGCTCCCTGAGTTGAGGACTCAGAGCTGGCAGGGTGGAGAGACCAAGGCAGCTAGAGTTTTCAGGATAGGGTACCAGAGAGGAGAGAGGTACAGAGAGAGAGCGAGAAGGAGAGAGAGAAAGAGATAGAATACCCCTGTGTCTTCAGCTAGCGTACTGATCAGTGAGTGCACATGTCTGAAACTAGCCAAAGTTGGAGAAAAAGCTATCCAAGAAAATTAGAGGGAACAATATCTGGAGCTAAGGCATGGCCTGGAAAAGTTCCTGTCACAACTGCCAGAGTGGAAAATCTCATTATTTGTGGAGAATCAGGTAAGATGTTTGCCTTGGTAGTCAGGAAAAAATTAGCTCTAGACTAAATACTGCTCTGGTTCCACCTAAGAAAGCTTGAAAGCAAGCCCTGAAAGCATCAAACTGTTGCCAAGCAACTGAACTGTGTCTAAGGACAAAGATC